GTCAACTTAGAAGAAGCAGAATCTGACACAGTTATATCACCCACATGTGTCATGAGAAACATCAATAGGAAATGGATCAATGTATAGCAGATCAGATTTATTCAGTGAGAAAGAACCAGATGGAATTGAAAAGATGGAGATATGTTCCATAAAGACAAATGGTGAGAGACATAGCGTTTGTGGGTAATAGGGTCATAGCAATAATAACACTAGGGAGCAAAACAAAGCAAGTATAACCAAACACTTGCAAGGAAAAGTAGTTAGTTTATCACATAATTTTTCAAATGGGGAGACTCCAGATGTGAGAACAGTAAGAATGCGGTTGATCAAATGAATTGCTGTAAGAATTGTTTCTCCTCAAAAGGAGGTGGGAACATGTGCCGCTAGTAGAAGGGAATGGGCTGTCTCTAGAATATGATGATATTTGCGGCCAGCAACACCATTCAGCTTAGGTGTGTCAGTGCAAGAGAATTGATAAAATGTACCATAAGATTTCAACAATTTACGAAAATAAGTAAGTGTATTCACCACCCTGATCACAACGACGAAAACATTTAATGACAGTGGAATATTGAGTGCATACCATAGTACGAAAAGTAGTGAAGATTGAAAAAATTTAGATCGATGCTTCATCAAGTATACCCAATAGTACCTGATATAATCATCAATAAAGAAAATATAATATCTGGACCCTCTTTGTGTAAGAATAGGAACCGGTCCCCATATATCAGAATGAACAAGACTAAATGGTGCAAGAGAATGAGTTACACTTTTATTGAAAGGCAATGTAATAAATTTAGACAATTTGCATACACTACAATAAAGAAGATCATGACTCTCTAAACTACCCAAACTATCAATAGAAACTAAAAATTTCAAACAAGAATGAGAAATATGACACAAATAATAACTAGAAGATTGTAGACTCAGACGAAAAGAAGATAAATCAACAATAGATGCAGCAGTTTTTGGAACATGGAGCTCTTCCAACACATATAACCCTCTCTTTCTACGATCTGTTCTAATCAGCTTTTTTGACTATGGATCTTGCACAGCACAACCAGAAGAGAAAAAATGAACAAAAAATCTTGAATCAAATAATTTACTAACTAAGATTAAATTCAAAGTAAGTTGAAGAATGTAATAGACATCATGAAGTCTAAGATGAGAAGAAAAAATTGTCCCAACACCTGGCAAAGACATTTGAGTGCCATTAGTTGCAAGTACAGATACAGATGGGAGAAGGGAAAAATAATAGATACAAATAAAGAAGAATTACTAGTCATATGATACATTGCACCTGAGTCAAAGACCTAGGTGGTGCGAGGTATATTTGAAGGGCCTAAAGTGAATGAACCTATTAATGTGAGACTGTAAGAGTACTAGGTTGATGGAGAGCAATTAGCTTCTGCAATTAATCAACAACCATACTCAGGCTGGAAGTTGATGAGGTGACTAATCCACTGGTGATGTTTTGGACACTGGGCCTTCTAGTGACCCTTCTCACGACAGAAGCTACATTCATCTGAAGCTGCTCGACATCGGTACTTTGTAAACTAGGCACCTTTGGGGGTATGATCAATACAGTCTGATTAGGTAATGAAAGAAGACCCTTTCAAGAAAGAGTCTTAAGACGAATTTCTTTAGGTAGAAGTTTATGAACTACTGCATCAACGAATGGAAATGGATAACGATGGAGAATCGAACCAGGTAGTCTCTCAAAGTCATCTTTGAGTGCCATAAAGAATTACACCAACCTTTGCTCCTCTCTAAAAGTATAGTTTGGCTTATTAATACTCAGTTTAGCGGGTTCAGTAGCTACCAACTAATCCCATTATCCAATCATAACTGAGTAAAACTCATGTATGAGCCTATCACCTAGATTTGCAGCTCGAATTTCAAGCTCAAGTTGAGATATTTTCACAAAATTTTATTGTAAGAACAATGTGGTTAAATAATCCAAAATTTTCTTGGCGATAGTAAATTTTAGCCAAATGAACACCAATAGTCTGATCTACAAAATTGTTAATCCTAGTAATAATCTTGGCATTATTGACATCCAATCGTTCTTCAAATCAACATACTTTTCTATCTTAATGTTTATTGGAGCTGTCACAACACCATCAACATAACTCCACATTTCTTTATCTAGTTGAAAAATTTTCATTACATAAGCCCAATAAATATAATTTCCATCAGTTAAAGAAAAACAAGCCAATTAATCAAATTGCAAGTTAAGGGATTACATTCAGCATGAGAAGTAGCAAAAATTGCAGTCTCTGTTCAACGAAGAAAAGGAAGCATCGAACTAGAAGAGAAAACCCAAACCAGCAGCCTGAAGTCGACAACGAACCAGAACAAGAAATACAAGTTTTTCACCCAACCAAATCACTTCACCAAGCTTCGGGTCTTTGTGCCAAACCCAAGAATCCTATTTCACACCTTGTGGAAGGAATTTGAACAAGAAAACTCAAGGAAATTTAATTGTGCTTCTCGAACTCGATTTTGAAAGAAAAAGTGCAAAAATCTTTGAAAAATAAAAAATCTAACAATCTGAACTCAAACCAAAAAACCAGTAGTACTATGATTACCCATGAAAAATTGAGCATTTGGGTGTCTACGGTGACTTCTGGTTGATGACATCAGCATTCTGGTCGACGAAATCAGCCCTAACTCCCTTCAATTTCTTCCTCCAATGAATATTGCTGTACTTATTTTAGCGTTTAGGTTCATAAAAGCTCTGATACCATGATAATATTGATCAAACAAAGAAGCAAAAAGAGAGAAAAGGAAGAAAATATATTACGGCTACATTAATCTATCAGAATGATAATCTTAGGTACACAATGCAAGCCCTTACATTGTAGGACAACATAAAATAAAGAGAAGACTAAACTACGTCTAATATCAATACCTAAGAAGCATAGGCATGGACACGGAATACGGATACGGATACGATACGACACGAACATGCCGATATGAAAATTTTTAAAACAGTAGGACACGGACATGCCGATATGAAAATTTGTCAACGTCATATATATATATATATATATATATATATATATATATATATATATATATAATCATGTGATAAAATAAAAATAGTTACTGATAATCATCAATTTTAAAAAGCCTCAATTTTATAACCCCATTTTTTTCACATTAATTTCATACTAAAAGTTTATTCCACTTGTATATAAGTTCGTATTTGTATCCAAAATTATGTTACATTCATGTCTTATATTCAATGTAATCATTATAACTTCTTTTATATTATGATTGTGACACATATTCCTTTAAAATTTTAAAAAATAACTTTTAATTATAAAATTATTTGAAAAAGTTCTCAAAAAATTAAAAAGATATCTCTAAATATGTCCCACAACATGTCGGCCACGTGTCCTGAGTGTGTCTCCAACGTGTCTTAAGCATGTTGGTCGCATGTCTCCGACGTGTTCTAAAAAAAATTAATAATAAAAAAATTAAATACTCATTTTAACTTGTTTAGAACGTGTCATTGTCCCAGACGTGTTTGACATCGGCACTATACGCAAAATGAAGTGCATGTGGTTCCTAGTAATAGTACCCCATCCGTGGTTCAAAGTATTAGCCCTCCGAACATGCCATGTGAATATCACGAGTATCACCTAAATTGGGGGTGACTCGGTTACAACTATGTTGTATCGTTCTGACTTGGAGTTATATCTGTATGAATCGAACGTTCACACCAGACTCAGATCGATTGTTGAGGTCTTCGACAAAATCCACAAAATCTCAGATAAAGTGCAAATGGCCAAAGAAAAAGGGAAAATGAGAAGAAAAGGATGCCCACATGAAAATCTGAAATTTTTCAACNATCTTAGATACACAATGCAAGCCCTTACATAGTAGGATAACATAAAATAAAGAGAAGACTAAACTACCCCTAATATCAATACCTAAGAAGCACTGGCATAGGATACGGATACGATATAACCTGGACATGCTGACACGAAATTTTTTAAAACATTAGGACATGGACACGTTGGCGATTGGTTAAATAATATGTATATATATATATATATATAATCATGTGATAAAATAAAAATAGTTACTAATTTTCATCAATTTTCAAGATCCCCAATTTTGTAACCCCAATTTTTTTCACATTAATTTCATATTAAAAGTTTATTCTATTTGCATATAAGTTTGTATTCGTATCCAAAATTATGTTACATTCATGTCCTATACTCAATGTAATGATTATAACTTCTTNATAAAATAAAAATAGTTACTAATTTTCATCAATTTTCAAGATCCCCAATTTTATAACCCCAATTTTTTTCACATTAATTTCATATTAAAAGTTTATTCTATTTGTATATAAGTTTGTATTCATATCCAAAATTATGTTACATTCATGTCCTATACTCAATGTAATGATTATAACTTCTTTTATATTATAATTGTCACTCATATTGCTCTAAGATTACAAAAATAACCATTAATTAGAAAATTATCTAGAAAGTTCTCAAAAAATTAAAAATAAATCTCAAAACGTATCTCCCAGCATGTCGGCCGTGTGTTCCCGATGTGTCTTGAGAGTATCGGTCGCGTGTCCTAACGTGTCTAAAACTTGTCCAAAACGTGTCCTAAAAATAATTTAACAATAAAAAAATTGGACACTGATTTTAATTTGCCCGACACGTGTCCGAGCGTGTCCAAAGTGTATCTTGTCTTAGACGTGTCCGACACTGACACTGTGCCCAAAATGACGTCTCCGTCCTTCCTAGATCAATACTAACAATAAACTAAACTCTCTAACAGTAACTTGTCAGAATAATCAATTATTGTTTGGACTGCTTCACCATCTTATTTCATTTGTAATTCATGGGCATCAGATATTATATGCATGTCTACACCTTGATGACATTTGTTGCCTTTGTTTTTCTTCAGAGCTAGCTGCCTCAATCCCTCGCACAGAAATAGTGGGGAAGAGTGAATATTTTCGATTTGGTATGAGGGATTCTCTGGCAATAGAGGCATCTTTTTTGCAGGTCATCTTATCATACTTTACCCACCTTGGTTAATATTGCCCCCTTAAACATTTTAGATGGGATAATCCCTTGTATGGGGAACATTATGGTGTCACTAGTAAGACGTTTGCTGAATATCAATTAAATTAATCAGCTTATTTGTATTTTGTACACTTGTAAAGCATGTTGGCATAAACTTTGATGTTCCTACGAATGTTCAGGGAATTGATGCTGTTTATGTCTGGTGACATTAGATGCTTTGGTCAAAATTATGTAAAATCAGGCTGATAAAAAAAAGTATTATGTACAATCATGAACACAGCATCCATCACACTCTCAGACATTTATTGGATATGCATGCACAGAGAGAGGAAGAGTTGCTTTCGAGTTGGTGGGAAGAGTATGCAGAATGTAGTGAAGGTCCAAGGGAAAGGTCTGGTTCCAAATCTAAGTCAGATCCGCAGGCGAAAGTATCTTCTTTGGAGAGTGCTCGATTAGCCCACCTGCATGCAATCGAAGAAGAGAGAGTTGGTGTCCCAGTAAAGGGAGGATTATATGAGGTATCGTTTCTTTCAATATTTTTCTTTTGTTAAGGATTTACCTGTCAGTTGTGAAGTAATTAGGTGAGAAGTTGGCACACAGATTTAATGATTTTTCATTAAGTTTTATTTGGATCAATATTTTTTCCTGTTTGGTGTATTATGCTATGAATCAGGATACAATCAATGCATGAAACATAGCTGAATGATAAGAATATAATACACTGAATAAATATTATATAACTTGTGAATGATTTGTAGAGATAGTGCACCATGGCATGAAAAATCCAGTGTCAGGTAGCCATTGCCTTTTAAACAACATTTGAAAACTGGTGTGCAGGTTAGCCATGTTTTTTCAATTCCTGTCCAGAAGAAAGAATAAATTTGTGGAAATATGATGTTTTCAAGTTGTCCAACCAAAAATCAAAAAGCAAACACAAACAGTAAGGGAAAAAAAAGGGCAGTCCGCGGAGGAGAGGCCACTTGAGTCAACGTTAAAGGATGACTCGCTTGCTTCTTCGTCGTGGCATGATATATCATCTTCTATCTAGAAGGGGAACCATTGTGAAATTCTTTCACAAAACAGTTAATCGCAGAAGGAAGAACATTGTGCTTTGTCATCGTTCTGTGAGTCATCGTCGTCTTGGGAGGAAGGCATCTGTGAGACTTGTTTTTCAAAAGGCTGAATCCCATTCGACACCTTCGCTCCACAATGTCCATCTGGTAGAAAAGCCTGGATTAAGTCCGCTTAGTCGCCACATTGGCTTAATAGGTTACTTTGTTGAGGAATAATACTTTTTAACTTTTAAGACCTTGTTTTTCTTGTTCTTTGCCTAAACGTGAAACGAGAGAAAAATAAAGAAGAAAATCTAAACAAAGGAATTGGTCTTCCTCAGGCAAGTTCTAGTGACCATTGATTCTGTGAACTGCTTAGATAGGAAATGTTGTGTGGTATTCAAGGCTAGAACTAACCCAACTCTCCCATAACATCCATTGGTCATCTAGCAAGTTTTTCTAGTTTATTGTGCAGGGTGGCGAAAATAAGTTTCGGCCGGCGAGCAGCACTAGGCCTAAGGCAGTCAAAATCCGATACGACACGATTAACCGACACAAATCGACACAAATTAAGCGGGTTTGGATGAGATCTTAACAGTTTTGGGTGATAAACGGATTGACATGCCAAACACGTTTAATAAACGGGTCGTGTTCGGGTGAGACCTGTCAAACCGTTTATCACACGTTTACCTGTTTAAATAAAATTAATATAATAATAAATTAATAATTATTTTAAAAAATTACGAGAAAAAAAGAAGTAAGGAAATCAATAAAAAAAAGAAGTAAAGTAATAGTTCAAAGACAAAGGAGAGGAGATGAGCAACACTTCAAAGACAAAGGCAAACCAATGCCTTTTGTTTTTGTCCCACATTGGAAAANAAAGTAAAGTAGTAGTTCAAAGACAAAGGAGAGGAGATGAGCAACACTTCAAAGACAAAGGCAAATCAATGCCTTTTGTTTTTGTCCCACATTGGAAAATGTGGGGAGATAGGGAGAGTTAAGTTGCCTATAAAAAGTAATAGCCTCTTGCTTTTTTTTTTAAGCCTTCAAGTCTTATTTTTATGAGATTTGACTAAAAATTTATCTTTTTTGAGGTAAGTGTAATTGACAATAAAAAAAAGTGGAGTATTAAAATTTGTTGATATAATTTTTTTAAAATTAAACAGGTTAAATGCGTTGTGTTACCTGTTTATTAAACGGGTCGTGTTCGTGCTCAGATTTTACCCGTTTATTAAACGTGTCGTGTATGGGTTTATAAGTTTTTCACCAGTGACCCGTTTAACCCGACACGTAAGCGTTTATCCTGACACGATTGACAACCCTAACTAGGCCCGATTTATTGAAACCATTAAGACCGGTTTCTCAGATTTAATTTCTTAGTTAACTATTTGTCTTTGTAACCTAAAATCTCTTCCAAAATCTCTCTCCTTACTCTTCTCTTTACTGGTTCCTTTTTCATCCTTGATGACCGACCACCTCGAGTTCTGACTAAATTGAGCTTCATTTTATATACGATGCCCTGATTCTTATTAACACAACTATCTTTAATCACCATCATAGGCTTAACTCGGTCCATCTCAGAATTACAAAATTTTATTCATTATATTCACTGCAATCATTGCTGAAAGGGAAGAAATATATGCTTTTACTAGAATCTGTGCACTTCTTGTAACCGTTCTGTTTTTTTGTAGAGTTATCAATATCCATAAGCTCTCCAATAAAAATGCCAATTGCAACAAACATAATTACACCAAATATGTGGAGGGATACCAATCACTTGTATCCAAATGTCCTCGAACTATTCAGTTGTCTTCCATAAAATTTTAGCCCACAACAACCATCTATCGAGATACAATAGGCAATCTTCTAGTGACCAATACTACAAGTTCAAAATCCTTCTTGCCTTCCTTTTCAACTTTACGGCAACATCAAAAAAGAATTGTCTTTTGGGATAACCCTCAGACCAACCAATTCCCGTTTTAGATTTGCCTAATGAACTACTTTCTCGATCACACGTGCTTTTGATTGTGTGCTATTGTGATTCAAATCTTTCCTCTAACGTTAATATTCATTTGTAACCCAACATGACCTTGATTCTGGACCATTCATGAGTATTGTTAGACTTCCTATTTTATATATTAGACCTAAGTTAATTAGTGTAGGGCAATATTATAATTCCTATTATATTAGTTAGTTATAAATAAAAGTGTGGGGCAATTTAACCTACACAACAAATTATTCTTTTTCCTCCATCTCTCCTTCTGTCTTTCATAACCCTAATATAACTTTTATTATTTCAACTTGGTATCAAAGCAATTGTGATACTGGTGTTGAATACTATGTTTTTGTAATTCCCTTTTCTGTATTTTTAATTTTTTGATTCCTTTTTCACTTATCACCTCAGTTGCTTGTTTCCTGCGATTCCCACCGCAGGGATGTAGTGTTTCTACCCTACAAATATTCGTGTGTCTTTGTTAATGGATTCCAGGTCATGGTGAGTGATTATGCATTTATATTGGCATTTTTTGGTTCTTATCAGTGCTAAAAGCTTTGTTGATCAGCGTTCCAGTAGTCGTTGGAGTTTCGGATATTTTTTTTGTTGTCAAAGTAAAGCTTCTGTCTTGCTTTGCTTGAAGCTAGGGTCTCTTCTGGTAAAAAGACCCATGCCATTGGTGTTTTAAAAGAACCTAGCCTAACCCAATCCATGTTTTAAAAAACAACCCAGCCCAACTTCTATTTGGGTCTACCCAGGTCAGTATCCTTAGCCAACCCCAGTCTCAACCAGTTCAAGTTAGAATCGACCAGTTCTCACCTGGTTCAGACTCCAGTTCATTTAGCCTAAGCCCGGTTCTCATTCGGTTTTGGTCCTTTCTTCCTATTTTCCTCTATTTCCTTTATTCTCTAGCTGGTTCAACTGCTACAGAGATATTTCAGTCACTGCTGGTCCCGGTTCAGTATTTTTCCTGGTTGGTTCATCAGGTTTGTAGCCGGTTAAGTGGTGTCTAAGCTGGCTCCGTGGTTTTTTAAGCTGTTTCAGTGGTTTCTAAGCCGATTCAGTGTTCCTTTAAGCTGGTTCAGTGGTCTCTAAGCTGGTTCACCATCTTTTTTGAGCAGGTTCAGTTTTTTTAAGCTACTTCATCGGTTTTTTTATTATGGTACAATTGGTTTTGCGTTATTGTGGTTGTTTGGGGATCTTCTTGGTTTCCTTAAACTCCTCCGATATTGCTACTTTGTTGTGGATTGTATTATGGCAATTTCTGAGGAGGCAAAGGATACGTCGGTTGATGCTCCGATTTGATAAGTTTATTTGGTGGATGATCAGGTTTGGCAGATCACTTCCTAAAAGTTAAATGGAATCAACTATTATTCCTTGTCTCATGTTATTAAAGTTTTTTTGCGTGCTAAATGAAAAGTCAAATATTTGAATGATAGTCCTCAGATCTAGAGGTACAACGACGACAAAATGAAGAGTTTCAGGTTGCTATATTCTTATCCAGTTAACTCTGAATATGATGTTTTCAAAGATCAGATTTTGGCTATTGAGAAACTTTGAGAAACTTCTAACTGCTGCCAATGCTTATTCTTGTCTTTAGAGAGCTTCTCTGAACCGTGGGATTCCCTCACCGTCATAGGGTCCCTCTGCTTTACTCTCTAGTGACTGTAGTCATGGCGGTTGTCGTCATCTAGCCTCTGGTGGTAATTGTGGTAGTAAAGTTATTGGTTGTGGAGGTCATGGTGGCTGTATCAATCTTTTTGAGTGGAAATGTTCTTATTGTGGAGCTATAGGATATATTGGGGATTATTGTTGAGATAAATAGGGAAGACCAGTCTATGCTAATCAAGTTTTTGATGGCCCGACTATGGTTACCATAATTCATTAAACCCCTAACAACTCACGATTTAGATACATCGATTCCAAACGGGGTGGGTTCGCGATCTAGATCACTAAAATGGACGATCCTAAATTGTTATAATAACCTTAAATCAATTCTCTTTAGAATATGTATCACAAATGTAAAATATATATTAATTGACTACATTTATATAGATTTATAATTATATATTGTTTCAAATAATAGAAAATCAAGCACAACTATAAGATAAATGGTAACTAACTTAATGTTTGTAAATGTTTTGTAATATATAATGTTGTATAGTAGTGAAAACTAGTTCCAAAATGAATTGTAATCCAAAATACCGTACTGGCTAAACCTATCCCCATCGTAACGCGTACCTGAGCAAGTATCGTACCGTGTACCCGTACCACGTACCAATGCGACGCACGATTTAGGTAACGTTCACCTGACTCCTTTTGTACTCAGCCATCAACTGGTGGCCTTGCTAAATTTACTTGTGGCTCTCATCATGATCTTATTTCTCAGCTTAGTTAGATTATCCAGTAATTGTCGTCACTCTCTTCCCATTCGTCTATTTCAGCTACCGGTTTACCCACTGCGGGTAATTTTGCACATGTAGTTGCACAATCTACTTCACCATCTTGGATTATTAATTCGGAGCTAGTGCTCACATGTCTAGTACTTCCGCATAGTTTTCTAATTTTTGTTCTTCTTACTTTCATATTGTTTTAGTTGATGGTTTCTTTAGAATAGTACGTGGAACTGGTAATCTGTTTTTTGTAATAAGCATACCACTCATGGGTATACTAGTCTTTTCTATTTTGTTATGGTAACTATATATATAAATTAAGAGTGTGGGGGTAGGGTTAACAATTGAGTCTCCCCACCACTCACAATTTTCCCCATAAATTTTCTTTTCTTAATCTCTCTTTTTTTTTTTTAAACCAATTCCTTAATCTCTTAAATTTACTAACTTTACATGGTATTAGAGCAATCGATTCCTTAGGGTTTATCATTTGCATTAATAAAATTTTATTTCTTTCTTTCCTCTTTTCCTTTCTTTTCTTAGTTTTAGTGTTTTCATTGCTCTCGTGCAATATTGTAGCAGTTATTTGAGGGTTCTGTTTGACTGATTATGGTTTAAGGAAGTTTATGGTGAGGTATATACTGGGCTAATGGTAGTTGTGGATGCTACAGATTAGTGTACTGTTGTCGGAATACCAATATGATCTGATCTTCCCTGCAATCAATTTTCAATAACCGTAGAATTTTTTTTTTATGGTGATGATCGATTCTTTGTCACTATGATCTCCATTGTTTTGGTGTTGTGATTGAAAGAGGTTGTCGTCATCTCTATTGCTTTGTTGTTATGACAAGAAGCAGTTATCAAAATTACTTGTGTGATAGTTGTCGTTGTGTTGGATCGAAGGCGTTGCGGAAGATGTTGGAGTGATTGCTCAGTCATCACCGAACTGGTTTTGTTGCCGAAGTGATTGCACTGTCATCACTGAATTGGTTTTGTTCGTCCTTTTTGCTATGCCGTGATTTTCGATTCTTGATTTTGTGTGGTAGATTTTGTGATTCGTTGCCATGATTTTCAGTTCATACGTAACTGTTTGACGAGGGTTCATCGCCGCTGCTAATGTCATTTAAGTTTTGAGTGACAATCGTTGCTTTAAGAAATTGAGAGACATGNTTGTGTGGTAGATTTTGTGATTCGTTGCCATGATTTTCAGTTCATACGTAACTGTTTGACGAGGGTTCATCGCCGCCGCTAATGTCATTTAAGTTTTGAGTGACAATCGTTGCTTTAAGAAATTGAGAGACATGTAGCCTAGAAAACAAAGAAGAAAATAATTTTTGCAACAAAAGAAATGGAGGATGTTCTAATGTTTGATGTAGTAACCAAATATGTTCCTCAGAAGGATCACTTCTTTCTAACTTGTGAGATCATGTAATGGGATCATCACTTGACTCTTGGAAATTTAGAAAGTAAAGACCATTTCTCTTTTCACCACTACTAATTGTCTTCCTCGGGACAAGGTCTTGAAAGACACAATGTGAAGGAAATAATGTTACACCACAATTTAATTTTCTTGTAATGCTACTCACAAAGAGAAGATTATTCTAAAGGTTCGGAACATGGAAAACAGATGAGAGAGATACGGAGGAAGTGGCTGGAATACAACCTTTACCAGGTATAAAAAACAATGAACCATTAGCTATTTTAACTTGTTTTCCCGAATAATAAACAAAGTGGACAGTCCAGTCATATTTATCAAATGCTCCTAAATCAATATCTAGTGGCAAAGAGGGGATATTACATAATGTACTCAATGATGTAGGTAGGTTAAATAGGCAAAAGAAGTGGATGCAATGGCAGGTGTCTCTAGTTTTGACATAAGAGCCATTGTCTTTGCTGCAGAGGTCAAAGCAAGAGAAGGTGGTGGAGTGTCCATTGCACTACTTATATGAGCTCGAGATGCTCTTCTACCGCCTAAGTGTCCTCCTCTACCCCCAAACTAAGGATGACCATGTAATTTCCAGCGAATAGACTCGCTTATGTCTCAGCCTATTGCAATAATCACAATACAACTTATATTTATCATTAGATGTAACATTATTAGCACATCCCCTCTCACCTTTCTTACTTCCTAAAATCGACTATCTCGAGAAGTAAGCAGTAGCCTAGGCGGAACTTTCCTGGGGCGTTGGGTGAAACATGATCCCTCACCTACTCTCGTTTGATTTAATTTATACCTCCTGTAGAGAAGGGAGAAGTCTCTTTCCTAGGAGTTGAATCCTAATTTGATCAAACTCAAGATTTAAGCCAACAAGGAATTCAATAAGTCTCTCCTATTCCATTAACTTATTTAGTTTTGAAGCATTTGCAGCCCAAACCATGTCAACTTTTTGATAGTGATTCAATTCTTTCCATAACCAACATAAAGTATGAAAATAGGTCACCAAAGAGGAATCTCTCCATTTAGTATTACGAATCCGACATTTCAGCTCATAAACCTATGCCATGTTTCCCATCTTTGTGTAAGTCTGTAAAGCTGACTCCCAAATCTACCTGGCAATGTGAAGAAACAATTAGCTATTATTGATCTCTGGTTGTATAAAGTGGAGAAGCCAAGATATAATCATTGAATTCTCATCCTCCCATTTATCATAAAGTGGGTTGTCAACCAGCGGTTCTTCAACTTTACCAGCCAAATAATCCATTTTTCCTTACTCTTAATAAAAAACGTACTTGACTGTGACCCGATCAGGTAATTATATGTATCAAGCTTTACTGTCGTAATTTGTAGTGCAGGATTTTCAATCTGAAGCCCAACTTGACTTGCAACACCTTTGACTGTGTCTGAGAGACATTCCGACATCCTTAATCTGATTTCAACATCTTTTCAAGACCCCAAATACACACCAAATGGATTAATAGACCAAAAAAGCAAGAAACACAACTTCGATCTCAAAACAATACTCGATCTATCCAAGAATCACAGAAAATAACCGGACCTACTCAGTAGTCAGTACACAAAAAAGTACCTTCTAAGGCCTTCAAAGCCATGAACCTCAATAAGTATGGGTTTAAATCACAAGGAAATTATTGAGCAATGATAATCGACAATAATAATGGTTATTCCAAGCATTGAATTAACCAAAGGTGGCTAGATCTTATTTTTTTGAAAAATAGGCCTATTTTTTCCAAAAATTAGAAAAAATAAGAAAAAGACACCAAATAATTTCAAAAAAGTTTCCAAAAATCATAGATAGTAGATTTGCCTTGGGTGACCATGACTATTGATGGAACATATTTTAACACTGGTCAGTGTAGTCAAGATTTGGATTGTTGGAGATCTAAATAATGTTTTAGTCTAGCCATTGAGGTTTGACACCGAGGTCTATTTACAATCATGGTTCAAGATCGCGGTATTGGCCATCAACTTGGAGAACTCTGAGACACATCGGCTGCAGCGTCGTGATGTAGAATCGGGCGATACAACCTAAAAGAAAATAGTGAACATGACGAGAAATTTAGGTCATATCGTGGCGTCGTGGAACCGTATCGTCCAATTCGGCGACGATATTTCTGCGACTTGGAATTGACTTAGATATAACTTGGACGANCAGGTTATATCGTGGCGTCGTGGAACCGTATCGTCCAATTCGGCGACAATATTTCTGCGACTTGGAATTGACTTAGATATAACTTGGACGACTTAGTTGAGTTGTACGAGACTTGGGTTTATACATATCGTGTAACGATATCGTCTCCGAAGGTGCCGAGACGGATACGACTCGGCCAATTCGTATCGGTAGCGGCCGATACTTTGNTAGGTCATATCGTGGCGTCGTGGAACCGTATCGTCCAATTCGGCGACGATATTTCTGCGACTTGGAATTGACTTAGATATAACTTGGACGACTTAGTTGAGTTGTACGAGACTCGGGTTTATACATATCGTGTAACGATATCGTCTTCAAAGGTGCCGAGACGGATACGACTCGGCCAATTCGTATCGGTAGCGGCCGATACTTTGAACCATGTTTACAATCCACAACATAGACAAATATTTCAATGGTCCCATCGACGGGATTTTGGTGGATGACCCTCCGATGCCTCAACTAAATATCTGGGGTATAATGTATAAAAATATTGGGCTTGGGATATGTCTGCCAAAGAGCCTGATGTGCGTGAATTGTGAAGGGAGGAATTTTCACTTGTAAATAGAGAGGATCCCTTTTATAGGCATAAATATGGGTGGAGTTGGTCTGCTGAACCATTGTCTTTGGCAAGTGGAATTGTTTGGCGTGTAGAGCTTGACTTTGAGTGACTTGTTGGTTAATGTTGGATGGTGTAGTGTTGTGTATGGTCACATCATTGTCTTGTCATGACATAGAATTGATCACCATTTTGTCTTTTAGTGATCCAAACAAATTGTATCCATCTACCGTAAATTTTTTTTTTTTTTGGGGACAGAAAAATTAAAATTTGAAAAAATATCTGCTAAGCTGAGGTTAAACTCAAGAATCACGCAACCTGCTCTTATACCATGTTGAATAAGAAGAAAAGAAAAGGGAAAAGAGAGAGGAGTCTGCTGGGAAAGAGAGGAGAGAGTTAGGGTTTTCTATCTCTGTCATTTATATTATAGCTTTAATATCATACTTAAAAAATACCCTCCATAATCATAACCATAAAAATAAAAGGCTAAAACCACTTCTAACATGACATGCTATGCTTCTGCTATGTGTTTGGGCATTTGGCTTATTATTTCATTTTCTACAGGATCTCGGACAGAACCTTCACTGTCCTGGATAAAATATGATGAGCTAGGCTGAATTGATAAGTATATAGAATCTGAGACCAGGTTTGAGAATGGATTCAAGCTTGAATTGGTTGAAGTGTAATGCTGATTTTGCATGGAAATACCACCGTTTTAGGGATTATATTGGTGGATAATTACAGTGGGATTTTGGGTAATTGGTTTGAGGTTTTGAGCATTAAACTAACTAATGATGAAATACATACAAATAATCAAACACACAACAGGGTTGTTTATGATGTTAATGACTATAGGGCTTGAACTGACAATCAAGTAACACAGAGAGGAAGAAGAAAGGGTAGAGGCCTTAGATGCTCGTTAGGACCTTCTAGGATCTTCACCTAAAAATATGTAATGGAGTTTCGCTGGTTAAAAAGTGTGGATATGTGCACAGAATTATAATTGATAGGTTGTTTTGAAGTTCTCTGCAAAGACATAGAGATCACAATAAATGTCCTACAAAAACCAAAAGATTTCTTAATGTATTTAACCTTGTACTTCTAATCATGGCTGGATAAAAACAAAGCCAAACAGCTCGATGGTCAGGGTACCATAAAGTTCGTAATCCTCTGTTTGTTTTATTTTATCTAAGTCCTATGGTGGGGTCCATTGGTGGCGTCCACATGAACTTGTCTCTTTTTCTCATTTACTCAAATTAAAAATATTATTTACACATTTTTCTGTTTATTGCCAACTGGGGAATTGTGGCTTATGCCTTCATCAAGCATTTTCACTGTCAACTTTTTTCTTTTAATTAGTTACACAATTTGTTTCATGGAAATATTGATCCTGGATGATTAGGGAATAAAGAAAAAATGCCTTTCTTTAACTCTGAGAATTTTTGTTGTTCTCAAGGAGGATATATTTCCTCCTTGAACAATAGTTGTTGAAGCTTGTGTGACATTACAACTGCAGGTAGATTTGGTGAAGAGACATTGTTTTCCAGTTTACTGGAATGGAGAAAATCGACGTGTTTTGAGAGGTCATTGGTTTGCTAGTAAAGGGGGTCTTGATTGGCTTCCACTTCGTGAAGATGTTACTGAACAATTGGAGTATGCATATCATTGCCAGGTATTTGACAGTCTAAGATTGTTTCTTATGTATTTGAAGGTTTTTTTTTTTTGGTAAAATAGCCCACAAATGCATCTTCATGTTGTAGTTTCATTGTTTCTGACTATTACATCTATACGAGAACTATGAGTACCTAATTGACTAGGAGTAGGACTCTATGTTAACATGCATTTCTTTTTGTTTTTGAGTTCATAATTTTTTTTATTTTATTTTATGAGTTTTCAGTAGTTGGAATTTATTTGTCTCTACCTGTGTTCTGCTAAATGTTTGCTTTCCTTTCATTTGGAGGTTATGATATTCATCCTTAATTCTTATGTTAAGAGAATGACACACGAAGTTCAAATGGTTACCTTTAGGTTTGGCATCGAAGAACATTTCAACCATCTGGACTTTTTGCAGCTCGAGTTGATTTGCAAGGCTCCACTCCTGTATGACATTATTTTGTAATAGAAGAAAAATAGTTCTGTCTGAATTATTAAATTATACTGTTATATAATTCAGCATTCTGCATGTAGGGACTACATGCCCTATTCACTGGAGAGGATGATACATGGGAGGCTTGGCTCAATGTTGATGCTTCTGGTTTTTCTAGCGTCATTAATTTTGGAGGGAATGGAATTAAGTTAAGGCGTGGATATGCTCCATGTCAATCATCAAAGCCAACCCAGGTAGTTTTATTCACTCATTTTAAGCACTGAATGATTGATTTTGTTGCCACAATTGTCTTCCTTGCCTTTACCCCTCATGATATATGAGCTAAATTTTTAGGCTCCTGGCTATTCACTAAACTGGGGTGCTGATATAATTTTTTATTTCTCGTTTTGAATTGAAAAAAGGTGGGGAGGGGAAGGTTGGCATCGACATCAATTGGATTAAGCTGTTTATCAAATTTTTATTATCTTTTTGGATGCGTATATCTAACCCTCGCAAGACCAGTAGTGGCAGTTGCCTCGTGCACTAGGCCGCCCATTGTTACTTGTAGTTATTCAAAATTGATAGCTAATTTCTATTGGTGGTGATGTTCTTTTCGTGGAGAATGAAAAATTATATTAAAATTCGGAGAACACTATGGAATCGTATTATTAAGGTGAAGCCATGGATAAATTTTTGGGCAAAGATCAAGTGGGAATTCTTGTGGATCAAATAATGGCTAGTCCAAGGTGGAGCCAAGTTTATGTGCTGTCTAAAGATCAAAATCTTGTTTTGGTGTTTTAGTCACCTAAAAAACAAAAACGTTTTGAAAATATTTTGAAAACATTTGTACAACAGATGAAAATTAATAAAAAATTGAGATTTTATTTTCAAAACCTTATAAATCTTTGCTCGAAATATACTAAAACATCTTGAAACATCTCAAAACATTGGTGGAAACACGCTGAAATATTTTGAAACACTTGAAAACATTTCAAAACACCTCGAAGCAAGAAAATTTGACTCTACTGATTCGTTTCGAACTCCATAGAAACAGAAATGTTTAGGCTGTTTCAAAATTAAATTTTGATCCTTGGTGCTGCCCATGTGAATAATTGAACTGGTGGGTCAAATGTGGACCCAATTTGATGTGATGCCCATGAAAATTACCAAGTGGATGATAAAAGTTTAGGTGCTAAGTGATATTGGTAGTTTTTGTTTAAACTTACTGCAACTCTTTGTTATGAAGTTTTAGAGTATTCATCTTACTCGCAAAACTGAATTTTTAGAGAATTTCAGGAGAAAATTTTAAGTCTTTGTGTGTGTTAAGTAGTATGATTTATATATAATTGTATTAAGTAATTAATAGTATGATGTAAGTTTCTGAACCTATTCTACTCTCCTGTACTTGAATCACACCATCCCCAATCATCTGATGCCCTCCTCCATACCTAATTGGTTCCCAACAGTCTTAATAGGTTGAAGTTCTGTGGCACTAAAATTATCAGAAAGAACTATTTTCTTACCAATCCCCTCGGTTGATTCCATAACCTATGATAAATTAGGACCCAGGCCAATATTCTCAGAAAAACCATGCACAGAATTTGCTAGTTCACAAAGAATAGGAGAATCAGAAGAAGAAGAAAGACCAAAAAAAAACCCTCCCCAGTATACAGAGACCCCCCCTTCTTTAATTTTCCACCTCCCCCCGCCAACCCTTTTAATTCGCCCATTAGAGATGATTTTTCAGGCCCAAAATACCCAGCCGGAGATTTAAGGCACCTGCCAGACAGTAGCTCTTGGTCCAACCTTACCTGTGCATCCGTCGCTTTTAATTCAACCTCATTCTCATCAAATGGCTCCCCAATTCCAACAATGGAATGAACCAAGGATCAAAATATCGTTTGGTGTATTGTTTCGATCACCTAGGAAACGGAAAAGTTTCGACGTGTTTCAGAAACGTTTCGACCTATTTTGAAAATATAATGAAAAAAATANTCCAACAATGGAATGAACCAAGGATCAAAATATCGTTTGGTGTATTGTTTCGATCACCTAGGAAACGGAAACGTTTCGACGTGTTTCAGAAACGTTTCGACCTATTTTGAAAATATAATGAAAAAAATAAAAAATTTAAGAATTATGTTTTTAAAACATTGATGGAAATATATCAAAGTATCTTGAAATACCTTGAAAATTTTTAAAACAATTGTGCAAATGTATTGAACTATTATAATATATTTAAAAATATTATGGAATACCTCGACATATTAGAGTTTCAATTTCATCACTGTTTCGTTTCGGTCTGTTTTAAAACGGAAACGTTTCAGACGTTTCGACCGTTTCGAAATGATATTTTGATCCTTGGAATGAACAACTCTCAACTTCTCATTATAGCTACCCCCATCTACTTCATCAGGTTCAATAGAGAAACTACATAGTTGTAGGACAGATCTGCATCGAGTCACCCCTCATTTACATCGAAACTACCTTCTTTCAGTTCTTCACCCTTTGCTTCATCAAGTGCTTCCTGTTGATCATCTATGTCGAATTCCCTTTCATCAATCTCGTCGGAGTTTGTTTGCTTCATGAGTCCTTCCTTCAAATTCCATAGATCTTTCTATCAAGACCTTCATCACTTCTACAATCAGACCATTGCTCCTTTCGCTTCAGGCCATCCTTGTTAGCCTCAACTGAAACCTCCCCTAGTCCTTTCAGCTTAAAACCCTTGGTCGATTTACCCGAATTCAAATCCGGATCCTTCAGCCCAGTATTCATCACAACTTTTTTAAATGAAGGCCCGTCCTTTGGGTCTACATGGTTGGATATTGATGCATTATTATCCAAAGTCCTCAAGCCCACTTTCATGCCAATAATAGAATTA